TCAGACAAGGAAACGCACAGAGCGTCCAGTCAATTTTAAAATTAAACACAATATGCAGACTCACGATCGTATTTTTCATCACTTTATCAACATTACGTCAAAACAGGTATCGAATTAACCACAATGCATCCTCAGAAAGACAAAGCAACATGTTGTTTGCATGTTTACTCTTTATTCCCGCGGGATCTTGTAGTTGTCCTGTGATGTGTCATAGGTGTGCTGACGTCCAGAAACAGATCCAGTGTGAATGGGCGCGAGCCGTCCGAAGGAGCAAAACGTGGCACTGACGGACCGCGGCACGCACGGAATATGTGTAAATTGGGGTTAGGCTCCTTGAAATTGTTGGTTGACGGCCTGCCAGAACAACCCCCAAACCCCAACCCCCCAACCCCCACCCCCTTACTCCCTATCCCTCTTCCTGAATTTTATCCCATCTCTCCCCTATCCCTTTCCAAGCCCGGCGCAGTCTAGGCCTGTGAAGGCTGATGAGCCCGGGATCAGGCCGAAGATTTCTGACTTTTAATAAGGCAGTTTTTTGTTGTTGGTCTTTTGTATAAAGTTTAATTTTATACAAAAGACCAACAACCAACAATTGTATTTTAGTGTGTCGTGAGTTTATAGATAAAGACTGTAAAGATTGCACAAAGTAGTAGTTGCAATAATGAGCTTAAACTGCACATCATTTACAAGTAAAAAGATATTTATTAAAAAAAAATCTAAAATAAGAGAAAATGTCTATCCACAGGCAACACTCTCTAAAGAACACAAGGGGAGGCTCTCAGCGTACTGAAACACCCATGTAAGACCATAACATCATCTGCATAGATCATCAGCACACTTATACTGTGTTTTTTTTAAAGGTGCTCTATGGAGTTTTGGTAGAGAAATGTGAAAGTTGGAGAAATGTACAGATTCTGTGGTATGTGTTCATTACTCTATATGCTTCTATAGAAGTACAATGTGACAGAGCAAAGCAGAGAGATGATCACCAATGACCAAAGTGACTACAACAACAGCAAAGACAGGAAATGTGGAAAGCCTAAATAAGTGGGTGGGCAACAGGAGGTACCTGAGAAATTAGTTTAAAAAGACATTTAATGCAGATATGTTGAGATAAGAAGAACAAATATGTTTAAATATCTGAATACTTTTCACATTGTGAATTAAGTCAAAGGTTTCCATGCAGTGGCTCATTTTTCTTCTGCTAATTAAAACGTGCAGTAGATCTGATCAAACTCGTAGCTCTCTCCTTCATCACTCGTATGACTATCATTACAAGCTCCAATGTTTTGTCAGTGGTTATAATGCCACTGATGGGACTCCAAAGCCCCCTGCAGTAACAGACGGGTGATGTCACTCTGGCTTAGTCCATTCATTCTTACAGGCTGTGGTTGCACACCAGAGAAAAATTAGATACATTGAAAACCAACATTTTAAACATCTAATCCACATTCTATATTTGACCTAGCCTCCAGTGACTCCGGTGACTCCATCGGTCCACCCCATGTTGAGCCTGGTGTATCTTGGATGATGGTGTTCAGTCCAGCCATCACGGTCCTCTCCACCTTCCTGTGCCTGACTTTTGTTTATCTCTGCAGTCAGAATGCAGGTAAATACACTACAATCACTTTTTACCTGTTAAGTATAGACATTTTGAATTGACTTAAATACAAATGAATCATATTGATTGTGATGGATCATTGAATGAATGAAGTCGTTGTCTAACAAGAAACCTTTTATTTATGATTCTACAGATGAAAAAGATCAAATGACTGAGAGAAGACCTGACATGGGAGAGGAAAGTACAGTGAATCAGGTAAGGACTTTCTTTGGTATTTTCATGGTCTCAGAACCATTAGACATCTTTGCAGCAGTAGAGACTCTGTACTAATGACACTCATGTTACTGTGTCTGATTACCTTTCAGGATGAAGACGCATGTTTCACCAGAGTTGTGTTCTTGTGTGTCGATGGACGGAACAAATAGATTGGCTTTGTCTGAGCGGACATCACACAAGCTCCACTTCAAACTTCTCACAAAGTCTTTAGAGTCCGAGTTTAAAGACCTGTTATATTTGTACACAGTGATGATGCGTTTTGGGCGAGTCAAAATGGTGTCAGAAAGTCAGCTAGTGGTGTTGAATTAACTGTTTGTTTGTTTGTTTTCTGGCTTCTTGCCTTCACTTGATAAGACGGTGTATAGAGTAGTAAACAGGAAAGAGAGAGGGGGGAATGACATGTGGTAATGGAACCACAGGCCGGACCTGAACCACCCGCCCAGAGGACCAGAGCTTCCAAACATTCGGGCAACCCAACCAGCAGGTCAGCTGTGGTCATGAATTAACAATTGGTTCTTCGGCAGATGTTCAGCAGAAGCAGCTTTTGAGGACCCTTGTTTACTATCACAATGACGTTAATCATCCTACTACGACGCTCGATGGCCGATTAGGATCCAATTTGTCAATGTCTTCAGAGACATAAACATCAACAAAACAGATATTTTCAACAAGTAAACAAGTAAACAAGTATCGTTATTATAGCAAAGATTACTTTGACACGACTAAAAGTGACAGCAAGAGACCGCTGCCAGGCTTAGAACTGTGCAACCCAATACATGGCCTTCCTGGGCACCCACAGTGCTGCACTTTCAGGAGGAAGACTCAGATTTCATTTTAACTAGTTCACCACAATGAATTAATTTTTTTAACATTAATCCCGTTTTAGTTTGCATACTGTTTCCAATTTATTCATCATGTGTAACTATGTTGTAACCATTACTAATGTACATGTATTCTTCCTTTATGTTCACCATCTATTTGTAATAAAGATTCACATTAAGCCAAGAACTTTGTTGGTTTGTTTCTGTTGAAAGGTCGAGCAGATCTAAGAAAGGCCGAACCCCCAAGGGACCCACACAGAAAAAAAGTGATAGGCTAAGATTGATGTCAAAAATCAACAAAAATTAATTCCAATTTATTCAGTGAGAACCTTAAGTCGAGGTGTGGCTGACTAAGGCAGCCTGATGTTTTTCAGTGAGGAAACATGTATTTTTTACACAGTTTGAGTAAAATATGGTAAAATCTTCTGAAGGTTCAAAAGATTTGCAAATGTAGAAATACACCGCAAGAAAAGGTGGTCATTGTTGCTTTAAGTTAGGATGAACCCTGTTTGTGTAAGCCTCCATGGGTCCTTCCCATGCAATCTTTCAACAGAAATATCTTAAATTGACTTGAGCTTGCATAGCACTTTTCTATTCTTCAGTCTACTCAAAGCACTTTTACACCGCAGACGAAGTAGCTGGAGCAACTTTGGCTTGAGTGTCTTGCTTAAGGACATATCAGACATGTTGCCCCAAGCTTTACTCTTTTTCCCCACCGTAGGGGCGGCCATAAATATTGAATCAGACCATCAAATGCCAACATTTATATAGAGGAGAGGAAATATGCCTGAGCTGTTTATAAGGATACACATGTTCAGTTCAGGCTGCGTAGGTTTTATGTGCCATGAAACAAACATGTTTTAAATGTATAAGAACACAAAAATCCTACAAGTGGTTTTTCAGGCATTGTCTGAGAAGGCTAAAATGTTGTTTTTTTATGGTCGGAAAATCTGTTGAAGATGAGTTGGCAACTTAAGAAGCTCATGTGTGTCATTTTTTGGACAGCGACATATACTGCAGTCACAGTTTAAGTGTTGTTTGAACTCTTTCAACTTTCTTTCAGCCTCCACTATGTACTGATATGATCTTACGATGGGGGATTTCTCACAAACAGCGACCCATAAATCTATTCTTCTTTCATAATTTGAAGTAGCTGCACTGAGGGTGAATGTGATAGACACTTACACCTTGCACACAACCATGATATCACTTTCACCCACACTCTTACTTTTTTCAGTTCCCCAACAAAATTGGAGTCATTCAACCAGACAGTTAAAACAGTTTGTTTTAGTGTAAAATTAAACAATAACTTCTGTTACTGTGCTAATCATTATTTCTCTGTCTTTCAGTAACATGACTAGTGGGTGGGGGCAGGACTTCCTGCTTCCTGAAGGCTCCTCTTTAGACCAGACCAAATGCTCTGATGTCATGGGGGAAGGGGGGGGGGGGCTGCATTGGTCTGTTCACTGAGTTCACACCTTAGCTTTTCTCATGTTCAGTAGAGTTATGTTCAGTTATAGTTTCACTTTTAAAGCTAAGAAATTTGGGGTTTGTACATTTTGTATTCATCTTTGAGTAAAATAAAAACTCCTGTTGTCTCTTGCCTAGCTTCTTGGTCCTTAACAGTCACATTAAATCAGTATAACTTTACATTTATCTTATAGAGAAACAAGCTGCTTGATCCTTTATAAACATGTTTGATCATAGCACTCTGCACTTTATTTGGCACTCTGCGATTGATTGAACTTGCTATTGAAATCCCAACATGTAATCATGTTATGTTTTAATGATGTATTTTAATTTGTTTTTTTTTATGGTTTTTGTTTTCATGTGCAGTCCTGTATTATGGTTTTGATGCCCTTTGTCACTAACATTGTGTTTTTATGCCGAAGCAACATTACAAAAAAAGGCAACACGTCTTCTGATTGAATTGTTGCCCTGACGATGACCTGAAACACCAAAATGTCTCGTGGTTACTCCCATGAAAAAAGAAATTAAAAAAAATGTTCCACCAGGAGTTTACCTTTCAGGATGAAGACGCATGTTTCACCAGAGTTGTGTTCTTGGTTGCAGATGGACAGAACAAATAGATTGGCTTTGTATGAGCGAACATCACACAAGCTCCACTTCAAACTTCTCACAAAGTCTTTAGAGTCCGAGTTTAAAGACCTGTTATATTTGTACACAGTGATGATGCCTTTTGTGGGCGGAGTCAAAATGGTGTCAGAAAGTCAGCTAGTGGTGTTGACTTAACTGTTTGTTTGTTTGTTTTCTGGCTTCTTGCCTTCACTTGATAAGACGGTGTATAGAGTAGTAAACAGGAAAGAGAGAGGGGGGAATAACGTGGTAATGGAACCCAGACCCGTCCACCCAGAGGACCAGAGCTTTCTCACATTCGGGGCAACCCAACCACCAGGTCAACTGTGGTGATGAATTAACACTTAGTTCTTCGGCAGATGTTCAGCAGAAGCAGCTTTTGAAGACCCTTGTTTACTATCACAATGACGTTAATCATCCTACTACGACGCTCGGTGGCCGATTATGATACAATTCGTCAATGTCTTCAGACACATTCACGTTGTTAGGGAAGAGTTTGTGGAGTCACAGAGTACATTTAAAGAAATGAATATTATTTTCACCATCTATTTGTAATAAATATTCAAATTAATCAAAGTACATTGTTGGTGTATCTCTGTTAAAAGGTCAAGCAGATCTAAGAAAGGTTGAGCCCAACAGGAGCCACAAAAAAGTGATAAGATTGATGACAAAATTCAACAGAAATTCTAATTGATTCTATGAGAACCTTTATTCAAGGTTGTCATTTTTTACACAGTTTGGGTAAAATATGGTCAAATCTAAGTTGAGCAACCTCAGAGCAGACAAAGCCTTGCCTTCCACACGATACTGAGGCTCCTGCTTGTTAAATTAATAAATTGTTAAATTGCCAATGTCTCTTGTTTCTTCAGATTTTAATCATCAAATCCAATAAACGAATAAGCTGTTTTTTCTATGTTTTTTCAAGTTTTTGAATTTTCATACTCAGCTCTGCTACTCATCCCACATTGCATGTTCCTTACAAATGTGGCACCATTTAAAAGGGAAATAAACAGTCTTTCCAAAGATTTATTGCCAAGAAGCATTGTTCCAACAAAGAAATAAATCTACCAAACACAAATGTCCTTACTTTTTGTTCGATGTTTATGTCAACATTACAAAATTATTTTTTTTGTTCCTCTGGTCTTAGGTCTGTTACATCCTAGATGTATTAAGAGTAGAATAGGTGCAGAAGTCAGAAGTCTGCGGTTCCTTCTTCTTCTTTGGTCTCTTTGATTTCTGACGGATTTCCACAGCAGCATAGCACACATCGTCATCCTAAGATTGAATATTTGTCATTTAGAAGCCCAACCTTGAACATATTTAATGCTTTGATACATTACACTTTAATGATAGATACCTGGCTCTGTCTTGGATGACCTCTAGTGTCAGGTCTTTGCTGATCAACAGGATGTTCTTCAGCTGCAGGAATAAATATAACATCAGTACAGCACAATGAAACTCACACAGTGGAAGAGACATTAAGGTGTCTTTGTGATTAAAAACAAATATGTGGATACATATTCTAGAAAAAGTGAGGTAGTTACCCTTCTTACTGCAGTGATAGACCACAAGTGAGGAGAGGAGAGTGGAGACAATAGATACAACTGGACACAGACAGAAGATCAGAATCCAGCACTCATTACAGTCCTGAGGCATCTTGGGGGGAGGAGTCTCATTCGTTTCCGCATCTAAATGAAAGTTGTGTTGATTACGTTCATTTAACTCTGATCTACAGAAAAATTCATAAAAAGTTGTAGAAAGTTGTAGAAACTTCAAAACATTGAAATCCCATATTTGAATGAAAATAGCACAAAGACAACATAAATTGATGAAACTGGGATATTTTATTGTTTTTGGAAAAAAATAATGCTAAGGCAGCTTAGCAAATTTATAGGGACATGTCGGACAAAAGCACCAATTTTTTTAAACATAGCTTTCAATTTTTTTTTCTCTTTTGGGGGGGGCACTTCATCAAGTTGGCGGTTCTAAGATGGCGGCCATGTAAAGTCTGTTAGTGCCAATATGTCTTCCAAGCCACTTAGAAAGTCAATCTTGGCGACAATATATTTTCTGAGTGGAGGAATGCATTAAAATATGGAAAAAATTTGGTAATTTTGTCCGACGTGTCCCCATCCGTTCCAATTCTGGTCCGAAGCTGCCTGACTAAAAGTCTGAAAAATGGTAAAAAACAAACAAACAAACATCCATAACTGAATCAGAATTCAAATGATGAATTAGAATAATATGTTATGCCCGCCACCTATCGTAGTGCACGTTCTGCCCGCTCGCCTCATGGACTGTAAATGTTACGTTCACCTGCCTGGGAGCTGGAGTCTGAC